ATCTTTTCAGTAAGAGATTCGATGATGACGTACAATCCGTCCCGGGTCAGATAGTTTAGAGCATGTATCACGGGTTCTGGGTGAGCGTGGGACTTTCCCTACGCTGAAATTTCAGAGGTCTCAATCCAAATCCTGCAGGAGTCGATTTCGACAATTACAGAGATGGGGTAGTGAGCGGAAAGATAGAAAGTCCAGCCTGGTGCTAATATGCCATTGGATAGAACATAATCAGAGAGCAGGAACTAAACGTTTGTATAGGACCGTTTTCTCTTGGTTCATTATTTGTGCTTCGGTAAACTTATATGATTTAAGACTATTCCCAGAAGTATTTCCATTCTTAAATAATAGAGTCAGAGCACGGATAATCTACAACAGCAAAGGCTTAACATTATACCTTGATATATAGCAGTAAACTATGATGAAGTCTATTAAATATAACAAACGTGAATCAATAAAGCGGTTCGTAAAGCAATATGGCTACTTTGAAGAGAGAGTCTGAGTTCTACAAATGACCTATAACAAGTTATTGAGCATCGTTCATTGGACTTTTTACAACCCTTCAGGTGGAAAGCGCGACCTGCTGCAGGTCCCCCACCTGGCAGGACGCTTTCTGGGAACAAGTACTGAATCACTATGCAGAAGACTTGACGAGGCCGGCTGCGACCTGAGAAACCTCCATGATCAATCCTACACCTATGGTCTTAATGTAATCATATATAGTGTCCCAGAAAGTTACGATGGCATTCACAATCAGCTACGCCTATAAACACCTTGGCGAATAGCAGATCTATTTAACCAATTGATGATAGGTATGCAGATATAACCAGAGTAAACCAGATGTTACGTATTTCTTTCCTAGTTCTAATCATTGCGTCGATTAAATACGTCAAGTTTTGCATCGCTCATGCTGCTGTGGAATAATCAATCGAACACGACCCCCAAAATATCGTGAATGCCGGCGGCAATAAAGTTTGGGGGCGATAGCAGTGTTCATTTCGAGGTATCCACCACCGACCTTCCTAATTCGACCAAACATGCGAGGATGTACCAAGCATCATTGATTGTCCCCGTCTTTGGAAGAATACGAGGTTGTCGTATGAGATCTTCAATTGGTGGGCTTTTAGAAATGACTCGATGCCGTGGTCTTCCTCGTCTCACAGGCTTAATCAAGCTTTCAAGCCTCAGCGATGTAGATTGCCGGGCGATCGGAAATCTACAACACCTACCCGATACTACCTAGGTTAGTGGCTACCCTGATATTGAAACACAAAAGGACCTCGAGATAATCTGAGCAAATTGCAGATTCATATCGCCATCCTTATCGTGAATCACGCCTTGGACTCGGCCGACACCTCATTGCCGAGAGCTCTCAACTGATTACACGAGAGAACGTTTGACAGGCAGGTCCTACTTATCATAGCCTTCGCTCTGCATCGTATTTCCTCTTTTCTTGCGTACTTCGTCTTTCGTCTTTCATGTTGCTACCACCACACTCTCTTACTTGTTTTCATTATGAAGTTCGCACTGCAGGCTTTGGCTATTGCCGCCGCCCTGGCTACGCCAGGACTGGCGGTTTTGAAGCCCGGATCAGCTACGAAGATCACACCTCCTCCGAGCCATGGCTTCATCATTGAGTTGGAGCCAACCGCTGCCTCTATCAATGGTCGAGCTGCCGATGGCATTGAAGTTGATGCTCATTCTGCGTTCCATCGCCGAGCTGAAGACGTGCTGGACTATTCGGTCCGACATGAATTCAAAAACCCGGAATATTTCTATGGACTCTCGATCAACGCCAAAAACGATACGGATATCACCACTCTTTTGGCTTTGCCGCAAGTCAAACAGGTCTGGCCCAACCGATACTATGAACGCCCCGCCCCTGTGATTCACGGAAGAAGCCCCAAAGCTCCCAATGAATACGTTCCGGTCGGAGTTCAACCTATTCATTTGCGAGACGTTGCGCAAGTTGCAACAGTGAACGGGACCAGCGATGTTCTCTCTAGCCTGAAGATGACAGGTGCCGATCAAGTTCACGGCCTAGGAGTTACCGGCAAAGGCGTCAAGATTGGAGTCTTGGATACTGGAGTTGATTATCGTCATCCAGCTCTCGGAGGCGGCTTTGGAGCTGGCTTCAAGGTTTCAGGAGGCTACGATCTGGTCGGGGATGATTTTGTGGGATACAACGATCCGGTGCCCGATGATGATCCGTTGACAACTTGTCTTGATGGAGGTCATGGAACTCATGTTGCTGGTAAGCTCAAATCTCTTCAAAACACCGGACTTGGTGTCTAATACTGCACAGGAATCATCGCTGCTAGGGATCCTGACGGAGTTGGCTTTGGAATTGTCGGAGTCGCTCCTGACGCATCGTTGTATGCTTACCGAGTCTTGGGCTGCACCGGAGGCACGACCGATGACATCCTGATGCAAGGATTCGAAAAGGCAGCAAGCGATGGTGTCGATCTCATCAGCATGTCTATTGGAGAGACCGCTGTCTGGGAGACTGGGTCACCTTACGTTCCTCTTCTTGCAAAGATTCAAGCTCAAGGTATCGGCATGACCGTGGCTGCTGGCAACGAGGGAGATCAGGGTATCTATCTATCTTCTGCTCCCGCCCAGGACGCCAGCGTTATCTCGGTCGGCTCTGTCAGCGACGTGGTCTTCACGACGATGTACAACGCTGTTGGCTCAGATGACTCAACGATCGAGTACGCTCGAGTGGTTCCTATCAATGCGTCCGCTCGTTACAATGTTTTCTACGCCGACGACGATCAACAGAACTGTGTGGACCAGGCATGGACTGACGCGATCACTGCATTTCCAGAGAAGGACAAAGTCATCGTACTGATTAGCTCAGGCAGCAGCTGTACTCTCGACCTTGACGTGCGCACCAATTCTTCCGGCTTCAAAAATGTCTGGGAGTGGTTGCCTGACACCAGCGACGTTGAAATCGACTCTCCGGGGGCTAACGGGGACGTGGACATTGTGAGAATCAAGAAGTCTGAGTCAGACAAGATCCTGGCAGGTATTGCAGAACAAGGAAGAAACTACACTTTGACTTTCAAAGACCAGAGCGTTCATCAAATCCCGCAACCAACCGGAAACACGACTTCATGGTTTTCAACTTTTGGTCCCACTATGGAGATGTCATTGAAACCACAGGTTTCGGCACCGGGGGGCACCATTCTCAGCACCTGGGTCACTTCCAACGGTTGGGGCTATGCGATCATCTCTGGGACTTCTATGGCCACCCCTCAGTATGTTACTCTTCATCATGGTCTGGATATATGCTAACTGTTTCTCAGTCTTGCTGGATGCTACGCTCTTCTGAAGCAGAAGTTCCCTAGTCTCTCTCCGAAAGAGATTGCGAGACGCCTGCAATCATCCGCAACTCCTCTGAACCAGTACGAAGGGGGCGGAATCTTGACAACGGCGGCCCAACAAGGATCGGGTCTGGTCAATATTTTGAAAGCAGTCTCAACCGAGACAGTGTTTTCGACCACGGAGTTCAACCTTGGAGATACTGCCAAACCCGCCAAGCAGAACTTCACGATTGAGAATCAGTCTGCCCAGGCCAAGACGTACTCGATTGGCCATAAGGGTGCCGCCGAAGTTGATGCACTCCCCAAGGCCAAGACTCTTGACGTCAACGATATGTTCTACTGGTCTCTCAACTTCGACTCGATCTATGCCAACGTTTCCTTCAGCGAGAAATCTTTGACAATTCCATCTGGCGGCAAAGCTACGGTCGAGTTTGAAATTCAGCCTCCTGAAATTGACCCTAGCCTGCTGCCTGTGTACAGCGGCTTCATCACAATCACTGATGATGACGAAGAGTTCGTCCTTCCTTATCTCGGTATCCCGTATGCCCGAAACACTCAGCCGAATATCTACACGGGCGATGTCCCGAACCTATCGCCAGAGCTGCAGCCCCCAGCGGGAATCCCTACACTTCCCTTTATCAGTGCAGGGGATACTGGCGTTCGTAACAACGACAGGATGGTCTTCAACTTTCCGGCCAAGGACGTCCCAGAAAACGAGACACGTCCGGCTGACAACAACCCTATCATTACTCTCTTCATCGACCAGCCCTCCGCATACGTTCGATTGGATGCTGTTCCTGTTGATCTTGCTTCGAATCCCGCCTACAACTTCACACCTTCATCTCTTGGTTACATTCCCAGAGGACCCTCGAACTCGACTTCCTTCACTAACACCACCACCCTGCAACCGCCTTTGGATCTCAACTCGCTCGACAACTTCGCTGGGGTCAAGAGCTACGGCCTGATTGGCTCTATGTATGGCGGTGACAAGCCTAAGTATACTACGTCAATCCTGTTCCGTGGCTACAGCGTTTACGGTACCGAATGGACTTGGGCCGAGGTCGAGTTGGCTAATGGGACCTTATACCAACTCCCTAATGCAGACTATCGTGTTCTTGTTCGAGCATTGAGATGGGGTGGAGATATCACCGACTCGAGCGATTATGACAGCTGGCTCAGCCCGGTCGTCAGGGTTAACATTACAGACCCTGGGTATCCCAACCCATGGAACTCAGTCTGAGGTGTCCACTCCCTCATGTCGATACATCCGGAAGCTCAATATGTTCATGTAATAGTAATTTTGTCCGTCATCAGTTGGTTTAAGCAGCATGCGAGTTTTTCCGATTGTTGAATATAAACGGAGTCAGATGTCCATTCCAAGTCTTCTCTTCGGAAGACTTCTTTGGTCCCATGATCATAGCCCCGTAATTCCGCACTTCCGCAAACCCGCGGTCTAATTCCGTCTGTGACGATCACTCCCCAACATCAGTACGATTCCGAACGTTCGGAATTTCCGCCAATTGAACACGAGCTTGTCTGGTTGGTCGAGTATCAGCTGAGGGAAACCCCGCAAACGCCATTCCAAGGACAACTCTAAAAGGATGCTTTTGATCCCGACCGTATTTCTTTGATGCTCCAAGAGCCAGCCGCCAACCAAGCCACTTTGTTACCAGCACGATGCTGTCCTTTATGAGAGCCCCCCACCCGCCACGTACAAATAGTGCGACCAACAATCCGATATTCTATGAGAATGGACGGTCGTCTGTCTCATTCTCCGCACCTGGATCGGAGTACATCATGACGCATCGTTTACCGCCGACAACCCAGGAGAATGGAGTATCCATAATACAGCCGCCGTTTCACTATCATATATACCAAGATGAATTCTTCCGGCTTCAATCTGGGAAAGGGAACTTTTTTCGAGGAGTGGACCCTAAGCCATTCGTCACCTTGTCGGATGAGCCCGATGGCCAAACAACAGCTTCCGTCAAAGCCGGTACCTATCACCGGTTCGAGAACGCAAGCAAGTCTGAGGATCTTGTTGTGGACATTCACTTGACACCGGAATCCTATGAAAATGAGCAAAGGTTCTTCCGCAACTTCTTCGGATATTTAGACGATTGCAAAAGTGCCGGAATGCAACCCAGCGTCTTTCAGCTGTTTGTGTTCCTTCATAGTGCGGACACACCACTTGCCGTGCCGATTTCTTGGCAACCCTTCGGAAGAATTGCGAGTAGAATACTTCTGACTGCTGTGGCGTTTTGGGGACGTTGGATTCTGGGGTACAAGCAGACTTACGCGGAATATTACCGATCGGAAAAGCGCGAGTGACAGATCAACGAGACGGAGTATAACACACGGGCTCCCGGTGCATCCCGTACCTTCACGCGGAGAAAAGATTAAGTGTCAACACCTGTGTGTTGAATCGGAGAGGAATCAGAGTTTCAAGAAGAGAACAGGACAGTTTTGAGTGACGGTCTAAAATTGAGAGATCAATCACAGTCGTAGTTGGCATTTTTCTCAGATAGTAGTTTGGCCTTCTGTCAATGTTTTCCCTCCGGTGCGCAGGTTGAACGCATTCCCTGCTGGGCAACCATTCGCATGAAATTCAATTCCTCTTCCATGGCTTTTGTGCCTGCACCCATGGGACTGGCTGTCGGATAAAGAACTTCCAGCTGAACCTCTTTCTGATGAACCTGAGGATGATCTCTACTACCAGTCATCATAATCTCGAGGATATTTCCGTTGCCATACTGCTCTTCGGTAAGAAGCTTCATCATAGCATCAGCTAGATTCTCAGTTGATAAAGCAAGATCATTGACAGGGAGACGATCTCTGCAAAATTCCTGGTCGAACAAGGGAGTCTAGACCAATTAAATCAGGAAGTTAGCAATTGCGCAAAGTTGGTTGTTTATCCTTCGGATATAACAACATGATAATAAGCGACATACTCTTGTTGGCCCTGGGCAGATCACCGAGTTCCTAATACCAACAAGCTCCTTCAAACCTTGCAATGATTTGACCACACTCAGGATAGCAGCCTTGCTCGCAAAGTAGAATGGTGTCTGGATTGAGTGGACGTAACCTCCCATGCTAGAAACCCAGAGCAGGTTGCCTTCGGTGTCCCTGTTTTGCAGCCAATAGGCCACCGCCATCTGTGCTAGGCGGATGGGACCTATGGTATTGACATTGAAAATGTGGTATGATCCCACTGTAGCGTCGACAGGGTCTCTGGACTGTGGAGAAATCCCCGGCGGGTTCCTAAAGGATGACCAAGGAGGCTCAAAAATGCCTGCATTGTTGATGACTATATTGACACGACCGAAGGTGTCCACTGATGTTGTCCAGAGCGAAGTTAAACCAGACCAGTTGGTTATGTCTGTCTTGTGAAAGACAGCTGAGGGGTGAACGGCGTCAGTTGGTGGATGGGGAAACTTGGAAATAGTATCCGTAGCTTCTGCACGTAGATTCAAGTCTGCAAAAATCACTGAGCAGCCGTGCGCAAGAAGTCTTTGGGCAATGGCGAGGCCGATTCCTATCAGGCAACAGGGAGTTTGTGTTGGTATACTTGAATGCTTGAAGGCTTGGGAACACATGTCTGAACCAACGCCTCAATGAAGAGAGGATCCATACTGACCTGATCCTGCGCCGGTGACCAATGCAACTTTGCCTCCGACATTGTATCCGATACCCATATCGAAGAGGGACAAGGTCGAACGTATAGAAGCACGTGTTGATATTGGTCCTTTTTGCTGAAGGAATAGAAAGGAAAAGAATCTGCCGCTTTGGTCAAGTCCAAGCAGTCTTATAAGATTTCTGTGCAGTAATCGCTGCAGAGAGCAAGGATTCTCAGTCGGAAACGTCCGCAAGAAGGCAGTTACACCGGCATGGCGCATTCAAATGCCACGACAACATGCAGACCTCCAACAGAATCTCAGGCTATCAAGCGAATTAGGAGCAAGACCAAAGAAACACCCCTGAAGTTAGCACTCTAGTAAGTGGATCCAACATGCAACCGAACGTCGGCCCATCCAGACGGAAGAAAAACGATCATTATCATAATGGCTGTGCCCTCAGGATTGGAAAGAATGTGAAAGATGTGACTGCGCTTGTGACGGGCCCGCAATAATTCTGCAAACTTATTTTATTTGCGTTGTAATTGGTTGAAAACATACAAAATTGACTTGGACTCCGAGGTTGGACCACATTGCCAGCTGGGGATTTGCTCATCACAATCTTGAGATACCCTACCAGATTATGGACCAAATCATACATAACAAAATCCAAATTCAAGCTAGAAGACTCATAGAACATGAGCGGCAGTCAGAAAGATAGAGAATATTAAAATCACGACGGTAACTGCCGTATCTACAGTGGTCAAGTAATATTACAAGTAACAAGCTTTATGCAACAAGTCAAATGTTGCCCGAGTACACAACAGAACTTGGAGTCTGCTGACCCGGCGATTAAAATTCAACCAGCAACTGTAGATAGTTATGGTTTCTCTGAAAGGAAAAGTGCTGAATGGTGTTACGCTCGAGAGGTGAGAGGTGATGCATATCAAGAGACGAAACACACGATAGAGTCTGTAACAGTGAAGGGCACGAACAGGTAGAAGAAAGGAGACGGTTATATTAGTCCGCAGAGATCAATTGTCTAGTACACAAAGAATGCCCAGAGGTTTGGCAATAGACCAAGATTCTCCGGCAATAAAGGTCGCACAGCGGACTTGAGGTATCGCCAGCCCCAGCCAGTTTTCTATGCGACTTTCAATCCGGCAAAGATGTTCCCAAACATAGCCCGCCAGAGATCAAGCATATAGAATTTTCTGGCAGCCCACATCCCATCTCCAGCTTTGGGAAACACCTTGGTTGCATGTCTGACATATGTTGAGGTGAGACTCATGACAGGCTTGGGCTTCATGTTGTTGGCATCCACAGTATATGGTGTAACGGAGTGGATGCCATTCGATCTCATGCTCCGCCAAAGACGAACCAGGTATGAACTTGTAGCTTCGGCACCCAAAGTCCAAGATGCATTGGCATATCCGAACACATATGCCAAGTTGGGCACGTCTTGGAGCATGCAGCCCTTGAACCCGAACTTCTGGTTCGGATCCACGGGGTTTCCGTTGACAGAAAGGGAGATCGCGCCAGCGAACCGTATTTTGAGCCCAGTTGCGGTGATAATGATGTCTGGCTTGAGAATTCTTCCAGACTTCAACACAATTTCGTTGTTGGTCACCACGTCAATGACGTCGGTTACGACATCTGCCTTCCCAGAGCGTAACGCCGCGAAGAAATCAGCGTCTGGGCACACACAAAGACGTTGCTGCCAGGGGTTGTACTTGGGACTGAAGTTGGGATCCAGAGGAATTGAAGGGGGCAGCTCCTTGGCAGCGCGTCCCAGCAAAGCTCTCCGTGCTGACTGTGGGAACAGCTGACAATAGTAATAAAGCAGGTAACCGAGCAAGATGAATTGAACTCTCAGAATTCGGCTCGAGATACTCCTCGGAAGTACAGACAGCATTAGCCTGCTGGGAAGGCTCTTCTGGGTTGGCAGCCCCGTAATGTAGGTTGGGCTTCTCTGAAGCATTGTCGTTCGACTGGCCTCCGTGGCCATGTTTGGTAGCAATGTCACCGCAGTCGCTCCACTTCCAATAATGACCACGTGCTTGTTCCGGTAATCAAGATCTTCGGGCCAAAACTGTGGATGAACGACTGGGCCTGTGAAGCTTTTGATGCCAGGGATCTCCGCAGCCAGCGGTTGCTCATAATCATAGTAACCGGTACCTAGGACGACGAAACGGGCCTTGAAACAGTTGACCTTTTCACCGTGCCCAGTTGTTTGTAATGTCCATAGCGACTCTGATGACTGCCAGTCTGCCGAGATGACTTGGTGGTGAAACTTGATATTTTTGTCGATACCATACTTCGACACCGACTCATGCAGGTAAGACATGATGGATGGGCCGCTGGCTAGAGGGTTGTCGCCTTTCCATGGGTTCCATGAGAACCCGAAGGTATAGATATCGGAGTCTGATCGTATTCCAGGGTAACGAAAGAGATCCCAGGTTCCGCCAATTTCGCCACGCCCTTCGAGAATGGCGTATGAAGCCCCTGGAGGCCCGTGGGCCTGGAGGTAGTATGCTGTGTTGATACCAGATATGCCGGCACCGATGATGATGACGTCAAAGATATCGCCCGCAGTGGCGAGCTCTGCTTGACCAAGAGCGGCATCCATGACTATTTTGTTGGGGAAATGTACCGGACGGATAAGGTCTGAGTAGAGAGTAACTGGATGGACTTTTTGATCCCCAACTTGGGTTTATATACTCGATTAACGTTGCTGGAAGCACTCGATGATGGGAAACGTCGGAGCAGACTTGGACACGTGCAACGGCCCTTGTACATTGGAATTTCATCCTGCAGCCTCGGGTTTCAGCACCCCAGCAAGCTGGAGATGGGACGACTTCCTGAACGGGACAATAGTCTCCGGTAAACCGCCTGCGTCGGAAGCGGGGCTACTGGCAATGTCGCAAACTCCGTGCCATTTCTTCGGGCTTTGAAGTCCGCCAAGCTCCACTGGCCTTTCATTGCCAGTGAGTCTTGGAAGAAAACCATCGGCTTGATTCAGCATCGTGTTGACTGTTGCTCCGTCCCACAACACCGCCGTGAGACAGTAAACTTGGTTCACGTCAATGATGCGCAATTACCCTGCATAACCAGGTAGCTGCCGGAGTGTACAGAAGTGACGGAAACTTCCCATACGTTGGTGTTTGAAAAATATCTGCCGCATAGTGGAAACCCGTCACGATGTAACTCCGTCCTCGCATGCAACATGCACAACTGGGCAGCAGACTTCTTGCTTCGTTCTCTTTTTAATCAAAATTCCACCTTTCGGTCCAGCTGAGGCCGTACACGTACACGTCAAGGGAATGAGAGGTGTTCCGTTGCTCCGTGCATATGGGAATCTCCGGCAACCGCGGACGCCGTTAGGATACATCATTCACGGCACCACGGCGAGGTCCAGCCTCAACCTGTCTTGGCGATAGCCTGGTATGTTCATAGAATCCCGCCCTCCATTGGGTAATAGTTCTCGCCTTCATGCTTCGCAGCAATTGCTGAAAAACAAGGGTCTAAAATTATTTCAGCCGGAAGCTGTCAAAGCGCCTCACATTGGACTGCCCAAGGTGACGATGGACGGCCGAGGTGCCTCGGCCACTTCTCCGGGCGGGGCTTTAGAGAAACGACTTAACGCATTATTCATTTTGCCGCGACTCGCTCTAGTCGCATTCGCATTTGTTTTACCCCGTCCGTGTTTTGCCGCTCAGATGACAACCCCGCTCCAGCTTTTTATCTTTTCTCCATCCCAACAGCCGAAATGACCAGAACCCATCCGTAAGCGCAGACTACAAGCCTGATATGCCCCGAACAGCCTGCGACGTCTGCTACAATAAGAAAGAAAAGTGCGTCTTCGATGGAGATTCCACCTTCTGCAACTTTTGCGTTGCACACAAGCAGCCATGTCGACTCACTAGGCCAGAGCGACGCATGGGGCGTCCACCGGTGGTCAAGAATTTACCCCATGGGCACAGCGGGATCATACTAGGTCTTGACGTACCCACGAGTCACAAACCGAGCTACTCCAGATCTCAGAATAACAAACAAAGCATTCAATTCCAAAGTCCCCGCGACCTTGGATTGAAGCAGGGAAATCTGAACCCTCTTGTGTTGTTGCACAGCTCGGCGAATAAGCATCATCTTCTCAACGCCCTCACAGACCGACAGATATTCTACACCTTTCATCGAAACTTCATGATCGGTCCCAGTTTTGCCGAGTCATTTAGGCTATCTATTCAGACGATACTCCCCTGTTTGAACATCAGCCTACTGAAGGCGTACGATGCCGTATTTGCGGTGTGGGATGATGTTAGTTAAAGAGTTAAACCACCTAAGGAGATAGATCTATTAGAACGGGGTTTAGTGGGCCCACTGGATTTTTCGGCGTTTTTAGCGTTTAGAGGTTAGATTACTAGCCCCCTTTAAGGGGCGAGAAGTTAGCTTAGATATTATTATTAATCCTTATAGATTAGAGGTAGAATTTACTTATTTTTAGTAGATTTTTAAGCTTTTAATCTTATTCTTTTTATTTTAGATCTAAAAAATAGATAAGAAGTCCTTTCCTTTTTCTTTTAAGATTATAGGTTTTAAAACTATAGAGTTATATAGCTATAATAACTATATATACTTAAAGGTATATATATACTACTATATCGTATAGTTCTTAGTTATTAAACTTATAACTATTTTAATAGTACTTAGAAGTAGATTCTTTTTTCTTTTAGATACCTATAGGAGGTACTAGAGAAGAACTTACTCTTATACTAGGTAAATAGATTAATATAATATATATAATAACTATAACTATTATTACTAACTATATAATACTAAGAAATATAATATATTAATAGGAGTTAAGTAGTTATTTATAGACTTAATTTATAATAAGTAGAGAAGTATAATAGCTAAGTATAACTTTAGTAATAAGAATATAAGGATATAAAAAGACTTTAAAAAAGACCTTAAAAGTATTATAGCTTATATAATAGGGAGTATTAGATTTTTATTTATTTTTACTCTTATTACTCTTTAATATTATAAGCTATTAAAATTAAATTAGATCTACTTAATAAGCTTTTTAAACTAATAAGAATATAAAGCTTTATAATATTTAAATAAAATAGCCTCTAGGAACTAATAAGTTTATTATAGAAGAATAAGATAAATCTATTATAAAGTTATTAGTAGTCTATATAACTTCTAATAGATTAACTAGTAGAGGCTTAAAAGAAGGAATATAAAGTTAACTATAGAAGCTTAAGATAGTATAGCTAATTAGGTTTAAAACTAATAGGGGTAGAGGTATAGCGCCTACCTACCTAGTTATACTCTTTTCTCTTTTCTTTTTTATTATATTTTTAGAAAAAGTAATAATAATACTTAAGATTAGAAAGATTAACACTTTTAATTACTTAAAATAATAACTTATATATTTACTATTTTAATTATTAATAACTATTATAGCTAAGATATAGTTTAAAACTACTAAAGAGATATTATATAAAAATATTCTAACTTTTTATAACCTTACTACTAGAGGTAAGTTTATTAATATATTTAATATTTAAACTAGAGTATTTAGGAATATCTAGGATTAAGCTAAGGTAATTCTAGTTTCTAAAGATAGCTTACTTAATAACCCCTCTAGTTTATAAACTTAAGCTACTAATATTAACTTTATTAAGGTTAACTATATTACTAATAATATTTACCTCTATATTAAAACTAATAGAGGTAAGGAATAAGCCTCTAGTATTAATTTTTATTATACTTTAAGTAATAATACTTATAGAGTTTAGTAATAGCTTATAGCTTCTATTAGTAATACTTATTTTATTTCTATAGACTAATTAATAGGAATTATTAAGTAACTAATAAAGTTATACTTTTAATATCTTATACTAATTATAATAAATCCCTTCCTAAATAAGAATACTTTTATATTTATAAGTAATAATATTATAGATTTTATTAAAACTTATAATTCCTAATCTTATAAAGTCTATTAGACTAATAAGGATAAGTTAATAAAAGTCTACCTCTATAGTCTTAAGGACTTAAGGTAAGATATTAAATTACTAGTTAAAGACCTTAATAATTAGGAAGCTACTAAAGCTACCTTTATTAATTAGTATAGTATTATAGATAAAAGCTTCTATTAGGACCTTAATAAAGAGCTTTAAGTAATTAAAGATAAGCCCCTCCTCTCTAAAATAGATACTATTAGTATTATAACCCTCTTTAATTATATTAAAGGCTTATACTATAAAGCTATTATAAGGGAACTCTTAAGGTATTAAGACTAAGATTTTATTTACCTTATTTATAGGTACTTACTAAAGGGAGTTATTAAAGCTACTATAAAGGCTCTCTCTTATAATATTATAGACTTACTCTAGAAGCCTTAGCTAAGTATTAAGTATATAATTATTAAATAGGTAACTAGAGAGACCTCTTATATATATATTAATAGAAAGAAGGCTATAAAAGTAACTACTCCTCTCTTAATTACTAGTCTTATTAAACTTATTAACTAGCCTATATAAGTTACCTATATTTAGTAGTAATATAGTAACTTAAAAGTAGTAGATTTAAATAAAGTTACTACTTTTTAAGAGTAGATATACTAAATATCTCTTAATAGTAAAGATATTAAGGAATAGATAAAGGTATTTATAGCTAGCGTTTAGAAGCTAAGTATAAATATTAGCTAATAGCTTAAATTAGTATAGAATAGTTATATTATAGATATAAACTAAGTATTTATAGTATAAGGGAGTTATAAATAGTAAAGAGAGGCTAGCTAATTTATAAGCTTAACTATTATAAACTAGATATAATATAATATACTTAAGATTAAGGGTTACTACTCCTATAGAATAAATAGATACTATATAGCTAAATATAATATTATAGATAAATTAAGGAATATTAAGGTAGTATACTACTTAAGGGGATAATATATTAGCTCTTATACTAATTATAATATTATTTAGGATAATATTATTAATAAAGGATAGAAGAACTTAATACCTAACCTAATAACTATTTAGGCTTATATCTTCTAAAGTAAGGTATACTTCTAGCTAGAAGTAATAGTAAAGTAATTCTATAATAAGTATTATTTAGAGTAAGTATTTAGCTTAAAATTATCTATCTATTATTAGGAAGCTATAGTTATAGTAGATAAAGCTTAGAGAGAATAAGAGGAGGCTAAATAATAAGTATTAATAACTGCTATTAATTATATTAATATTAAGTATATATATAGCTATATAGTTAATATTAATTATATAAAAAACTAAAAGCTAGTAGAGGTTAATACTATTATTAGAATAAAGAATAATAACTTTTAATATACTTTATATAGTAACTTCTTAATAAGAAAGGTTTATTTTATAAACTAAATTTTAACTTAATAAGGTACTACGCCTATAAGAGGTACTTAAGTTGAGGAAGTAGTTAAAAATAAAATAATTATATAAGTCTTTTTATAACTTTAGCTATAAGAACTTACTTATTATGAGGAGACTAAAGAGCTATACTAAATAACCTTCTTTTTAGACTTAGAAGAAACCTACTCTTAAGCTATAGCTTTTTATAGTAAAAAGTAGATAGGTA